TTGAATTAATTTGAATAGGAGTCGCCATCGACCTTTGGATTAAGTATGTCGAATACATGAAAACGTCTTTTAAAACAATTTTAAGAAAATTCATTTTTTAGACAAAAATTGGTCTATGTTTGTCAAAGATTCATTTTAGGGATTCAATACTCGATTACGCGTGGGGGAGGGTTAGCACCCCCAAAACGCCCAATAATTGGTACTTAGTCGCATACACGTTGTCGTAATGGTGGACATCGTAAATTCGAATCAATATTTAAAGTGTGATCCTTTTATTAAATATTGAATAATTTGTTTCAAATTATTTATTAGGAAAAATTCTTTTATTCGAAAAGAAATATCGAGATTTGTGCATCCTCCGATGGGAATATTATCTCTTCTATTTCTTGAATACGAAAGAATATTCCACCTTGATTTAAAATCCATAATAGAATTGAAATAGGATACCAATAATTACAAAAATATTATTATTTTAGAAACACATATGTTAATATTTAAATTAGAGTCTAACAAATTAATTAATTTTACTTTTATAAAAAGCATACTCGGTTTATTTTGAATTCACGTTTCGTTTGAATGTCATTTTGAATCACAACATTTCTGTAAAGTAGTGCATTTCATGCCCATTCTACGACCAATGTTCTTGAAAATAATTTTGAGTGCATATATATAAAAAGGAAATTATCAATATCAAGTGAATTAAAGCGTTTATAGATGTATACATATGGCATAAAAAAGGTCCAAAAAATAGAATATTATAAGGATCAAAACAATAGATGTATAACTTTAAAAGAGGTCTAAAACAAACCTAAATAACATGGTCTAAATATGTAAATAGACTAAACTAGATCTAAACATGGACTAAAACTGCATGCAAGGATAACCTTAAGGAACTGGTGCATAAATTACCATTTTCGTACAGTAAAATAAAAGACTAAAAAGGAATGAAGGGAAAACAAACATGCATGATATAAAATTTAACCTCAAAAAACGAAGATAGTGATCAAAATATAAATTTCAAAAATAAAGAGCGCAGTGTCTAATACTAGCAAAAATATATAATAAACAACAAGGTGACCAAAATACAAGTTTAATAAATGCGAGTCTAAATATGAAAGGATTCCTTTACATATAATGGCTAAAATAAAAGTTTACAAATCTCGAAGGCCCCAAAACATAATTTAACCAGGGCGACATCGTTTCATATACCATGTATATGGCTAAAACAATACCTAAACCCGACCATCTCCCTCATTTGTTCCCTTTTCTTTATGTTTCAAGGGAGAGGGAGAGAGAGAGAGAGAGATAGCAAAAGCTCTTAACTCTCTCTTCCCCCTTCCTTGTTTCCCTGTCGTGGGGAAAAACAAAAGAACGACCACCATAAACCGACGACGATTAAAGGGAAAACAACATCGTCCCCTCTTTTTTCTCTCGTCTTGACTCCCTAAAGGACCCCGAAAGCCCCATATTACAAACCCTAGAATCCTATCCTCCACTCAAAAACCCAAAAAGAAACAAGCCCCTAAAGGTAAGACCTTTACATTCGATGATAGAGGCCTGGGTCCAACGAAGTAGTGGTCGACACTCTTTTTGGGTAAGGATTTTTAGTTCTCTCTTCTCTTTTTCTTTTTCTTTTTCGGTTTTTTTCTTTCTATTGTTTGGTCTGAAAGTGGGTTTTTTTTTTGTTTGAATCTCTCTTTCCTTTTGGTTTAAATGTTTCTTCCCCTTGAAATATCGCTTGCATGATGATTTATTGTTACTTATTGGGTGGAAATCATGAGACCTATTGATAGGGGCATTATTTTCTCGGATTTATCGGGATTTAGGATTTTTTTAATGGGGTTTTGGGATTTAGTGAGATTTTCGACTGACTTAGTGGTTTTCTGTCACTGTTTGGGTCTGTTGCTGACGACGGTGGCAGTATGGAGCTCCGATGGTGGCTCACAGGACGAGGATATTAAAGGGGTTGAGTGCGCGTACCTTACGCGCCAATTGGACAATCCATATTTATCTTCGGTCGACAGTTGCTGGCTAAGATGCATTAGGGTTTAACCGTAAGCTTTCATTCTGGATGAAATCTAGTCGTCAGATCGTCACCAGATCCTACGGTTGAGAAGCTGGAGACGCTAGATGAAGGAGCAGTTAAGGTTTCTTCATTTGTCAATGAATGGACTGTTGGGCTTGTATCTTGGGTTGCTGGACAAATGTATTGGGCTTTGGTGTAATTGATGTGGGCTTGTTTTTGAGTCTCGATTTTTGGCCTACAAAAATGTATAATAAAACTTTGTTACTAATAATAATAATAATAATAAGTTAATAATAAATTAAAACTTGGGAAAAAAAAGGAGTCCTTTTCATAACACAAATGACAACAGTTTGTGTCTGCCATGCAAAAGAGAAGGCAGATAAATACCTCCCAAATAAGACAGCCCAGAATCCGTGATATTACTTTTTGATATTTGCAGCTCCTTCAGATTGTTAAGTCCTGGGATAAAAGAAAAACATAAAGCCACAACCAAAATTGTACTACTCTTTGTTAGCTTGAAAAAATGTCCAAAATTACCCGAAATAGCCTTCAAGTCCAAATCAGTAATACATTTACAGCATCTGATATTAAGAGACTCAAGTTTGGATAAACCTGTAAAAAGGGTAAAAATGACAGCTTCTGAGAAAATAATTTCTGGAGAAGATGTTGCAATAACTGGATGACATAGGAACTCACACTAAAACTTCTGTAATTCATATAACTAGTTGACTCTCTATCTTATAGTACATAATGGTCATATTTTAATGCATCATGAGATTGGACCCCTCATTCTCCCCAATATACGATCGATATATAAACATCATAAGGGTGTATTTCGATTTTCTCAGGTTGTTCTCCGTAATGTAAAAATATCAATTAAAATATACATGAAACAGTGCTCCCTTTGAAGGGGCAAGTTCTACAGTTCCATAGAACCCAAGCTTTCTAAGGTCTCATAAGGATTCATTCTCAACAGACCTTTAATATGTACAAATCCACCATGAATCCCTGTGCACCCCTCCAGGTCCAGCTTTTCCAAGTTAATTAAGTTGGAAAAGACAAGCATCCCTTCAGCCGTAATGGCCGCACTCTTTTTAAAGCTCAAGGATGTCAAATTTGTTAGACCTAAAAGGTCGAGGGACATAATGCCTAAGACCAGCACAGAAATAATCTCAAATAAGAAGCCAATCCAAAGAACTAAAGAATTGATATCCTAACCACAGAAAAGCACCACTATATAAAATTTATTATAATATTCATAACATAGATCATATAGAAATAACATGTCTGTACCGAGGGTCACTTGACAGTTTTATGGAATTTCTTCTAATGCCAAGACATTTAATAGATACTTCCTACTTAACGGTTTCAAAACATGCCATCTTTTTATTCCAGGCTTTTTCCTTTTTTTTCTTCCCATGAAATATTATGAATTTATTAAATAAGAAGCAGCACTAAATCCCAAAAACAAAAGCTTGAAAAAAAGAAACTACCCCAACTTTTCAGTATAATTCATCCACTACAGAATAGATGAAAGGAGAAAAACATTTGATATTTACTTACAGAAGATTTGTAATTCCTTATAAGTATTATGTCAAGGTATAATATAGAAAAATGCCAGGAACTGCCCTATGGTAACATCAATGTAAAGAAAGAAATAGAACATTACCATTAATATGCTTCAGTCCAATTTCTGAAATATTTTCACAATTGTTAAAAGTGGCTTGGAGACTTGAGCACTCAGACCCAAGCCAATATCTGTCACATCAGAACCAGAAAGATCAACAGAAAGTAATGATGTCCCTTGTGAAGAGATGACATCCATCCAACTATCCTGTACTCCAGGATATTCATCCAACCAAACATCCTGTCAACACAAGATGAAACCCAAGTAAATACGATTCTCTATGAAGACGGTAATTAAAAGAAACAATTAATTTAATGGTGGTCCATTTTTAACCCAGCTAGGGAAAAATTACCTCTGGAGCACAATCACAAAACTTTCGAAGTATCACATCTGTAAGAAGATGGGAAAAAACCAATTTGTTGAAAATTTGTTGACTTGTATCCTTTGGCAGCATTGTAAATGAACTATATTGGTTGATGTCCCGCGATAGAAAAAGTATACAATTTCAGAGAGGAGAAAGAAAAACCCAGAATTCCCATGCCAAATATATATGTGACAGACATACTTTGCATATTTTATCAATGCATAATTCGATGAGGGATGGACAAATGACCACTCCGGGCTGATGCACTGCCTTGGGTCGCAAAAAGGAGGTTAGAAGCCACTTTGAACTACCACTTTTGCTATACCTTCCAGACACTCCTCTTCTCATTCCATCTTCAACAACCTGTTGGTCTCTCTTCCTTGAACACACTCCCTCGATTAGACTAAGTCTGATAAATTATCGATAATTGTCATGAAAGAAGAAAAACCAATTTACTCCCCATTTTAAAACCATCAAACATGATCCGAACTCTGAAGTCCAAATACTGCTTAACCTTCCAACACGGCTGGACAAGAAGCAACAGCATTACAGAGTCGGCTTTTCAAACCGGACTACAAATACAAAACCATAACGTTAACAGCAAGTCACCATCCATCACTCTCACTAGGGTTATGTAGCATTTATATTATATATAAATTAAAGGATAGCAGTTTCATCCCAAGCACAGTATATGCCAATACTTGCATTGGCTCCTAAACATTCCTTTAGGTAAAAACATAAACCATCATAGATTCATCAAAATCAAACAAGAGCAAATGAAAGCAACAAATTTAATAGAAAGTACGATAATGTAAGTTACAAAGAACAGAAAGAAGACAAGTAACAAATAAATGAAATTCTCTATTTTAATGCCTTATTATATGCTAATAAGATGAAAATTATGATTTTCTTGTTCTTTTCAAGGATAATATATGTTATGCATTGATGGCAATGCAATCTCATTTTCTACCAATTGTCTGCCATCCGGAAAACCTTGGATTTATTTAATCCCCCAAATTAATTACAGATTCCTTCTTTCCAGCATAAAAAAAATGCGGAGCTCTTAAGGACGTATACTTATAATACAATGCATGTCAGTGTTACTTGAACGGGTCAATATATGAATATCATGATGCCACCGAACGGCTACTGCTACGTCCACGTCCAAGTCCAAGTCCCAACCCCAATGGCACACTCGCGTTTTTCGGCTTGCTGCTAGGCTTACTATGGTTGCACTGAGAAGACAGAACATTGCCGTGGCCATGACTGTGGCCGTGGTGGTGGTTGTGGCTATGTCTGTGGCTGTGTCCGTGATGATGTTCATTGACATCGCTAGAGCTCACATTTATAGCGATATGGCCGTTTTCGTTCACTGGTGTTTGCGTATCACCATTTTCCAAACTCAAATCCCTCACCATCTGTACCATCCCAATAGCTTCAGATTGTGTTGGTTCCTCACTAATCTGCACATCTTCATTGTAGCCATTGATCAGGAAATCTGAGCAGTTCTTACGGCATCCGTGATCATACGGGTTTCTAAAACGGCCACTAGCACCTCTGAGGTAGCTATAGCGCATCACATTTGCCATTTCATTTGTTGTTATATTGCGAGCTATCTGTAGCAAGAAAAGAAAGAGTGAGTATCCGACCAAAAACTGATACTTCTTACTCTCTGGTTTTTGAAATCATTCATTTTCCATGCATATGAGCTATATGTGCAAACATTAACCATATGCACCGTACCAGATACTACAAACACCAAATTTTTCCCCAAAAGAAAGAGAAGCTTGCGGTGACATGAGAAAACCATAAAAGCATGCATATGAAACTGAGCAAATCTGGGCTAACGACAAAAGTCCCGATCAAGTCCCGGAAAATGTTGTGTCAAGAAAAATATCACATGAAGGCTGCCTCGAAACTGCAAATCATTGCAGTAATAATATGTGGTGGTTGTTAAATTCATACGGTTATATACCCACAAAAACTTAACAGTGCATCAAAGTAGCCAAGAGGGTAAGTGCATTGGTGAAGCACACAAAATTTTCTGTTATGGCCTGGGTCACAACAATAAAGAAGTGACCCGAAAAGAACAAATACAACTCCAGATTACAAAAATCTAAAGCGGTACCTGAGAAGCTTGTACAACAGTTAAAGCTGCCACACCAAAGAAGAGGAAAAAATCAACCATCAAAAATGATATAGCACCGATATGATGAGTACAAGCATGGTTAACCCATGGAAAAAATTGAGGAGGAGCCAGAGGATCTGTCACAATTCCTGTACATTGCGAAACACATTTGCAAGACATTCAGGGTGCAAAGAAGTTTGCTAACATTGGAATATAGTTTGAACTTGGAACTGATTAAACCACATACTTGTAACTGCCACTCCACCAGTAATCAACATTGCTGAAACTTCTAAAACGAGGAAAAGAAAAAAATCCCATTTGTTTCTCTGCATGACAAGATACACATAGTTAATCAACAGATACCACACACACTCATCAAATAATTCAATATTATTCTCTTTCCACATAGGAAATTGACCTATCAATATAACTGTAATCAACAAGCAAAGACACATCACTCATATTTGTCTACATTTTCAAAAAGCAAAGTAATGTATAAAAGCATTCAAGGCCCTTAATTTGATTGTATATTCGAAGTACATGATGATAAACATGTAATGTTACAAATGAAATGAAACATTTAAATAATAACATTAAAAAAAAAAGGTTAACATGTAACCCTTCAGAAACAAGCACCTTGCCAATACAATTTGATACCCACGGGCAATGATGGTCAAATTGTTCAACGCAGCGATCACAAGTGGAGCAGTGTTTTGCACGAAGAGGCCTGACGATCTGATGATATAAAATAAAATGGTTAAACAATAAGAATAAACAGATTATAAAATGGGTAACAAATAGGCAATATCAGCTAGATTAGGTGAGCACCTTGCATGTTGCACAAAGCTGAGACCAATTTCCAGCTAGCAAAATAGGATTATTTATTTCAATCTTCAATAAGGGTTCCTGGCAGAACAAACAGGATACATATGCTATATGGTGAGCAACTACACCAATCAGGGGGGGATAAGGGATCGACAGCAAATAACACTTCAGGAAAACTAAGACAAATCAAACAAAAATCAGTTAGGCTTTATGAGAAAAAACAACGCACACAGTCTCTCATATTTTGAGGATCAAGAGCTTTCATCTTGATATAACCTGGATCCTTGCTGCAAAGAAATTTGAAAAGGATATAGATAAGTACACTCTTCAACAAATCTTATTACTAGCAAATGCATGCAACAGAAATTTATATCCTGCCTAGAGCAGAACTAGGGATAATATACACTCATCCCACTTCTCATATAGAGAACTACACGATTTGAACTGGAAAACAAGAAAAAATTACAAAATATACTTCAATTTAGAAAATGTCTTGTTTTAAGTTAAAGATTCATAGACACTGCCATTGAAAATATTTGAGTACATTTCAGTATGCTCTCTCTTGAAGAGTACAATAACTCACTACCACTGTACACCACCCCTTTCCAACTCCTTCAAAAGAAGATTCCCCACCTTCTAACATAAATAAACATAAAAAAACATCAAAGATCTATTGGCTAGATAGTTGAAACTACCACAAGAAAATACAAACATTAAAGGTATCAAAGCCATATTTCTGTCCTTAAAATTGTTTCTGCAAACAGAAAAGAAAACTAATCAAATGTTACAGAAAATCCGTTCATTATGATTCCAAAAAAATTTGTTGATAGCTGCTATACTCTTGAATTTTCCCAAAAATGGAAAATGGGGCTAACAAACTTGATAAATAGACAGCTTGCAATTGTCCATACAGATGTATTCAGTGGCACAGACCTAACCGACTATCTGAATAATAATAAACCCATGACAAAATGTATACCTGCTACACCTATAAAACAAAACCAAACCAGCAGATGATAGGAAAACACCCATCCATGCCAGAAGGCCAAAACCAGCTGTCGGCCTTGGCAGATTTGACGCTGCAGCAAAGAATGTCTAAATAAATTGATAATAAAGAGACAGATATAGTACTCCACAAAGGTATCACACAATTAACTTTCAGGAAGAGAACAAGAGACACACCCGTTATGACAGATTTAGTATAGGTCACCAGCAGTACCAAGATAATAAACCAAAGAACCTGTGCAAGGCTTAATTTTGAAAGGCGTCCAAGGCGGCTGTTCCTATCACATCTCTTTTCAAGCAGCCTTCTAGCATTACCCTGCAGAAACAGGTGCATAAATAGGTGGGGAGATAACTCAGTTACTCAGCTGATGTTACAATAAGAATATTACATCATCTTAACCATTAAAATAGAATAAAATCTAGGAGATAAATAGACACTTCTGAAAATTTTCCAGCTACTTAGCAGAAGCTAACTAGACAAGCAAAAATCAATTATACTGTTATCCTAAATATTTCTCATAGAAAAGTCACAAATTTTGAGAACATTCTAAATTTATAAAAGGATGGTCTATCCTACAACAAAAACACCATTAAAATGTTTGATTTGCAAATACATCAGGCTTTAACTATTTCAATATGTTTTCAATAAATAAAAAAAATACATTTTTAACCTTTTATTTAATGTTTGAATCCACGTGCATTTTATTTGTATTCTTATCAGTAGTTTAACAATCTTAATGCAGGACAAAATAGGAAGAAAAAACATTTTTCATTTAGCCCAAGGCATTCATCGGCTATCTCTAAAATAAAGAGCTTGAACTGTATAATATTGAAAACAAAAACAAATAAATATATATAAAAAATTATTCACCAAAGAATAATCATTGACCAAGTTAAATGCTATTGAACCTACAAGGAAAAAAGCAACTTGTCTGTGGCCTTTTTCAGAAGCAAGTTGTGCAGGTGTAAGGCAAGAATTATCAGTGACCATCAAGTCCTCCATCTTGCCAGCCTGTACTAAGACTGTGCAAGCTTCTAGATTACCCTTAATAGCCGCCCAATGGAGAGGAGTGCAACCTGATGTAAAAGATGAAACATGGTTAGACAAGCAAAATTATGCATGCAATTAAACATTTCACAGGTAAATATCGTCTATACTAGATGAACCAGATGAAATTCCCTAGAAATGACACTCTAAATCTAAGAGAAGAAAATTACCCTCTTTGTCTTGACGTCCACTATCAGAATCGAGAAATAAAAGAAGACGTATGCAATCAGCAAAACCTTTGTAAGCGGCCCTAGTATTATCCACATTGCAAGGAAATTAGAATAAAAATAACAGATCTGATTCTTATAAACTTCATTTTACAATAAAGCAATCTTTAGGAAACAAATGAACAAAATAATTACAATGTTTAAGCAAACTAGTTGAATGTAAGAGTCTCAAGAAGAGATTTCACTTAAAAACTTGAACACAAATCTTAAAACTTTTTCACTAAAAAGAATGCAAATAAACTAACAGAAATATGGGGTTCCCTTCAAAAGTAGTGGTACCAGAATATGCATTAGACAACGTTTTTGCTATTAAAATTATCGTTTGGTTCTAAAATAATTTGAATGACAAATAGTTGAAGGTAAAAATGTGAAGCTAATGCTAAAACCTCAAAAATAAGCAAACACAAAATGCAGACTTATCTTGGAACATTCAAGTGAATAAGAGTAAGGTAAATGAAATTCTTACATACCAGTGCAAAGGACTTCTCCCACTATAATCAGGAGCATCAGGGTCAGCATTCCATTTACAAACAATATGATAAAGAAAGGCAGTCTGACCATATTGGGTAGCAACATGTGTTACCTGCATCAAATACATAAAATAATTATGCATCCATATGGGGGTTCAAGTAAAAGCTTAAATTGATGCAGAAGCTAATATTATTATAATATTTATTTATTTTAGTTTTACTAAATATTAGAGATAATTTGGGTGGCTAGTATTATAAGTTTCCTTTTTATTTTATTTCTAAGGCTAAGATTAAATTAAGTTTTTAACTCTAGTATAAATAAGCTGTACAAATATTATGACCACAACTTATTATTATTTTCTTTGAATTTAAAAAAAAAACTAAAAGTTTCATTTAACCCTTTTTTTTTAGTTTCACCTTTCCTACTAGTATGTTCAACATTATTTCTTTTGATTATTGTTGTTTTTCTTCTTACCTACATCAATAAGGGTAATCGGAGCCTCATTAGATATAGGGTTTAAAGTAAGATTCATTTTGAAGCCATGATTGGACACGGTAGAGGCCAGCCAAGAGGAAATCAAGGTCAAAATACAGATTTGGCTGCAATTCAACGTGTGATAGAACTATCACATGCAATTCATGATAGGCCGCGATAGATACAGTGAAAGCTCAGATGGATATTCTGAAAGGTGTCCACAATCAGTTTGAAAATACCAAAAGGTAGTCAAACAGTAAATCAGGAGACGAAGTAAGCCCCTTCCATGATGTTGAACCCGTAAATCATGCGACAAGTGGCAAACTAGAGTAGCGGTAGGCACAAGATACAAATTAATACTTATTTCACATTACTTTTTTTATAGAAGTAGAAGGCCTCATTAAAAACCTCCCTCATAGTTGGCTCATGAACAGAGGCAACTAGCGGAAGGAGTAAAAGAGTGCCTCAATTTATTAATAATTCAAACTAATACATCAGGGTAAAGCAATACACCTTAAACAACAATAAAACAACAAAACCCTATAAAAACATCTTAAAAAACACCAAAAATTCAGTCAATCCCCTGTTTAGCCAAAGTATCTGCCTCACAATTACAACCCCTAGGAATCAGTCTAACAATGATCTCCCTAGCAGAAACTAGGGATACAATTTCCCCAACCAAAGTACTAAAAAAAGGTGCAGAAGTCGGCAACAAAATCCATTCCACAACAGATTTGCAGTCACTCTCTATAATCAATCTTCCCTTCGCAGCCTAAGAAGATGAAAGAAAAAAATCAATGCCTTTCTCAATGGCTTTCAACTCAGCCAAAGGAGGAGGACCTGGGCCAACACCATTCGAGAAAGACCCTAAAGTTTAGATATTCAAGTCTTTTAAAATGCCTCCGATTCCACCCACCAGTCCGTCACCTCTTACCGCCCCATTAACATTAAATTTGAAAAAATGTGCTGGAGGAGGAAGCCAACTCTGAACATTCTTTCTCTTAAAGGTAGGACTATGAAGCTTGTCTGCAAGAGTCCCCAACTAGTGAGTCAACCTGAATAATGACATGCGGATACTTAGCAAGAAACCATTTAGCCAATTTGAATCTAGAAATGAAGAATAGAGAAGATCTGTCGAGTTTCCAATTATCAAAAACCACTGAATTCCTAGCCTTCCATATTGACTACAAAACAACTCCTGGGATAAACTTCCAAATTGTAGAATCTGCCCTTAGATCAGACCATGAACTAAGCAGGGAAGGTGGATCTTTAGGCAGAACTGATGAGATGTCCCATAACCTGAAAAATATATTCTATAATTTGACGGTTTCTTCCTGATTGAAACATAACGGACATAGAACATCCTCCAATGTAACCCCCCTTCTCTTTAACTCCATTCTAGCTGCCAATTATTTCACATTACGATGCATGCAGAAGATTATTTGGATTGTTAAGCTAGTTTGAAGAATAATATTGAGTGGAAACCTATGGTAGAGGCTAGGAAGGTGGTGTTTGTGAAGCTAAAATTGAAAGATATTATATTTCAATGGTAGAAAAGAGCTGAAGAACGTGTACACCAAGATAAGCCAAAAATTAGCACATGGAAACACATGAAGGCAAAATTGCATAAACAATTCCTACCTGTTGATTATGCAGTGGAGTTATATGAGAAGTTCAACTCATTACGGCAAAAAGGATTGTAAGTGGACGAGTACACCTTTGATTTTAACAATCTTTCTATTCTAGTTGGGTTGAATGAGTAATGAACAAATGACATCTCGTTATCTAGCAAGATTAAATCATTCTATCAGGGATGAGATGGGAGTGGTTTAATTATTCAACCTAAACAACATGGTTTAATGGCTTAAAGGTTTGTTTGACGATATGGTGCAAGAAAGCTTGTGTTAGGAAGAATTGTAGTACAAAGAGGGGTCCAAGTTGTTCGAGGTGCTAAAACAAAACAGACAACCTTCAAAGGCAATCATGTGGCTGATAGCAACTCTAAAATTTGTTATTTTACTTGCAATTAAAAAAACCATAGTTCTTGTTCATGTCCTAAATAAAGGATGACTTTGATCGAGATGGAATAGCAAGAGAATATTATTGTAGTAGAGCGTTAACAACATCAACTGAAGGTGAACAAGAGGATTGGAGGCAACGTAGCATTTTCCTTCCTAAAGTGCATTGTGGTGAGAAGGTTTGTGACTTTGTTATTGATGGTGGTAGCATGGAAAATGTTATTTCAAAAGAGGCAATAGAGACGCTAAAACTGCATACATAAAAGCATCCTCATGCTTACAAAGTATGTTAACTTAAAAGATGTGAAAGGGAGTTGCTAATACTTCTAAAAGTAGCAAACTTTGTGGATTTTTATCAACTAAACAATTTGAGCTTGAATGTGAAAAATAAAATCTAGTGTGTGCTCTGATGAGTAAAATTGTGACTAGTGATAACATTGAAAGATCTAAACAACTACCATAAATTCATTATTTGATGAGGGAATTTGTTGAGTTAGTTAGCAGTGCTATGCCCTAAGGCTTGCCACCCATGAGAAGTATTGATCTGGTATCGAGTGCCTCTTTACCAAATTTGCTAACTTATCAAAAGCCACCAGTTCAGTGTATTGAAATACAGAGTTAAAAAGGGCACAAGGCACACTAAGGCGACAGGGGTTTTATAGCCAAGGCACAGGGTGCAAGGCACGCGCCTTATTGAAGTGAGGCGCACTTTTTAAAAATAAAAGTTATACAAGTTTTTTCCAGTTGTATAATCAAATAAAAAGAACAATTCATGCAATATAAATACCAAATAGTATTCATTATAAGCATTTTATGTATTGAGCATCACTTTTGTTCCATCAATCATTCAACCTTGAGAACCCAAGCAAAACCCCCCTTCTTCCTTGGTCCACAATTCCACAAAAAGAAACTGAAACAATAAATAGAAGTCTAATAATGTGTTGGCATCGACTTCTTACTTGTCTCCTTCTTGTCCCTCCACCTCACACCTCTCAACAAATGTGTCTTCCTCCTTGTTAACACCACCAACACCCTAAACACCTCCTATATCCATCCTAATCCTCCATTTTCGTATTTCTAAATTGTGTTTCCAAGCTTTTCTTTCTTTCTCATGTATTCAACTTTCATCATGTGCTAAACATACTGCTCAAGAACCCTCACTATGCAACAAAACTTACTTAAGCTTATCTTTTCCTCCCTCGATTATCAATTCGTGCATGTATGCCTCTCTTTCAAAAATGGCCTCTATTCATCCCCTTTGTTCCTCTCTTTCAAACTTCAAGACAAACAATAATTATATAAGGTAAAGCACCCCCTTTATCTGCATTTCACGCCAAATTTTCATACATCTCCCATGAAACTCTCTTTTCTAATCACCCCCACCACGTTTTACTCTTTTCTTCACTGACATTTCATTTTTACATCTTTTTTGTTGTTGATATATAAGTATGTAAAACATAATAAAAAAAAGACAATTTTTTTTGAAAAGGCGACGCCTTTCTGTGCTTCATTGAAATCCCCTCACCTAAACCTAATTAGATGCTTCACCCTCGTCTCGCCTAGGCGCACCTCAATTGCGCCTTTTTAAACACTGATGAAATGTAAATGCAAGTAGAAGAGTTGTTGGTTAAGGGTTTAGTTCATGAAAGTTTAATCGCGTGTCCACTTCTAGTGTTACTCCAAAGAAGGATCGTTGTTGGAGGATGAGTGTGGACAGTCGTGTGATTAACAAATACCATCAAATATGTTTCCCATCCCACAATTGAATGATATGCTTGATCAATTGGCTGGTTCTAAGGTATTTTCAAAGATTAACTTGAAAGATGAATACCACAAAATCAGGTTGAGAGGTGGAGATGAATTGAGGACAACATTCAAGACTCTTGATGGTCTTTATGAGTGGTTAATGATGTCATTTGGCCTTTCAAATGCGCTAAACACTTTATGCAGGTCATGAATGAGGTACTTAAGGTGTTTTTGAATTCTTTTATTTTAACGATATATTGGTTTGCAATAAAAGCAACGAGGAGCACTTATCTCACTTGCAACAAGTTTGGGAGGTATAAGGTGTCAAAGAATAAGCTTTAGTGCTTGTGATCGAGTTACATAAAAGATTTGCATATCGACCTAATCTTAGTTTTTAAAGGCACATTGAGACGCAAAAGGTCCCTAGAGCCTAGGCGCAAAGAGAAGACTCCTTAAGCGCGTGCCTACCTCTATGGAGGCGATTTTATCCGCGCCTACCTGCGCCTGGCACCTGGGAGGACTTCTGGTATTACGCCGCGCTCACCTCTCTGGAGGCGATTTTCTCTGCGCCTACCTGCGTCCGGAGCCTTAAGCGCACCTAGGCACACTTTTGAAAACCCAGGACCTAATTTTTAATGTTTCAAACTTGTATCATTTTAAGGGTTTCAATTGGTATGTTTCTGAATTTTAAATCGATCAAGTGAAACAACTACTAAAGTGAAGACTGAGGTTATTGAAGATGTATTGGACGTTAAAGAAGTGAGGCCTAGAAAGGGTAATCAATATAGGAGATTTTTGGTGAAATAGTTGGGCAAACCAACTATTGAAAGTACTTCAATTGCAGAAGAAGGGCCACAATGAGTTGATCCCGAAATTTATATTGAAGTCGTGAAAGTTTTCTCATCAAAGTCATTAAATATTAAAGATATTTTGGATGACTAAGATTATAAGTTTTCCTTATGTTTTGGATATATGGCTAGGATTAAATTAGCTTTGTAACCCTAGTATAAATAAGCTATAAAAATATGACAACCACAACTTATCATTATTATTTTCTTTGAATTAAAAGAAAACTGGAGATTTCCTTTAACCATAAGTTTTTCTTGAGTTCCATCTTCTTCTGTACTCATTTTTCCAACCTTATTTCTTTTGATTATTGTTGTTTTTCTTCTTACCCATATCATAAAAGTATACCTGGTCAATTATTATCCTGAAATGAACTTGTAGAAACACTAAGTGTAAGCATAAGTTTGAGCAGTAAATTAAGAAGTAGAAACTCACACTTGTGCTCTAGACTTCAAGACAGAAAAACAAAGGGAAAAAAGAATTGTATCAGCAACAACAGTGAAGAACAACTGCATAAAATTGCATCTGATTGAGATGATACTAGGAGAAAAGTAAGGGAAGGGGTAGTTAATAGGATAGCACGGCAGAGTAAAAATGAAAGCATATGACTTCAACTGTCTTTAGGCCTCAAAGTATCAATATGATATAAAGGAAACCATATATTGCTGAGTTTCTAATGCTCATAAATGAATGATGCTTACGCAGATATAACTATATAAAACCAACTTCATGCAGAGAAGATAGTCTAAAAGAGCTTGTTTGTTTAAACATTTATTTACGTCACTGATCCCGCAAATCCATATTGTTGGGAACCATATAATTTCACCTGGTAGCCATAGATATCAGCAGCATGCACCCGAGCACCCTCTTGGAGTAAAATATCAGCAACTTGTATCGCACCTCGAACCGCACTCCAGTGCAAGGCCGTTTGCCCATTGTGATCTGCGGCATGTATATCTCCACCATGCTAACAAATACATACAATCCAAATACTAGTCACTTCATCCGAATTTCATCCAGTCATAGTTCAACACCAACATGATACGAATAAATCTTAAAATTCAAGCTCTTTCAAGAATCATTTCCAAAACTCAAAGCATGTATTCCCAAAATCCAGTTAAACCCAATTAAGCATACCTTTATAAGATTAGGAATCCCATAAAACCAGATACCAAATAAAGCCAGCTCTGAAATCTGCTAATTCTAGCAATTAAGGTAATTTCGAAAATACATCAAAATAGCCCCAAAAGGAAACGATTAGAAAAAACCTGGATGATGTACTGTGCAACAGCAGTTCTATTATTCAAAGCAGCCCATTGGAGGGCGTAGTACCCAAGGCCATCGGGCTCGGAAAGGGAGCGACCCTCGTACTCAACCAACCTTCGGAGCTTCTCTAAATCCCCAAAAGCAGCAGCCGTGTAAACATCGTTCCTCTGGCTCTCATCATCAACGGAACCACCAACAACACCATTGTTGTTCCCTCCCCCGCAATATCCATTACCATTAGCTACAACGCCATCCGATTGCTTGAAGGGTTGAACCTCTTCAACAACCTCGATCTCCGACGACATCTCTCAAAAACCCAACAATCAAAATACACAAAAAAAGGCCTAAAAGACAAAATATCCTCTCTCTTTTTCAATTTATCTCCGGTTGACTTAGTATCTGAATAAAAAATGTTTTTTTTTAAAAAAAAATTGGGAACATAAAAAGAAATGTGGGGTCGCTTAGGGTTTTTCGAGGAAAGCAGGGCGAAGGGTGATCATCGCGCTTTGGCGTCCTTTCCGTTTTGACCGAAAGGCCGACACCAAATCGAAAGCCAGAGCGATTATTCGTAGGAATTAATTGAACTCGATTTCACACAAAAACACAGAAATTCATTGCCCATTGTGTTTTTCTAATCTTTTTGCTTATTGACCCCGTCAATTTTACCTATTTACTCCTATCGCTCCCTTTATTTATTTATTATTTGGATAAACTACATATATAGTCATCCATCTATTCATATGTTTTTGTTTAGGTCACCTAACTATTTTTTAAAATCATACCCAATGTTACATTTTAGTTCTATTTTGATAATCCACTATTATAAAATAAATAAAACGTTGGTGTGATAATTTTGTTCAATGGCGACGTAGCATTAAATTATGGTGATCAGGGACAAAGCTAGGATCAAATGTTGAGGTGGTAAGATTATTTTATATCAAAAGAACAAGAATCTATTAAGTATTTAAATCTAAAAATTGAGGACAAATGCCAACTAATATTCTAACTAAAAAGAACCAAAAATGTCATTATACCAAAAGTTTTGGCCTCTAGGAGGGGCAACATCCCCTTCTAGTTCCTATGTAGATTCTTCTTTGATGGTGACACGTCAGCATCACCATTATTATTTTAATAACAAGTGATCAAAACGAGATCAAATATAATATAACTCCCCAAACCCGAGGTTAGTAGTTTAATGCTAAACTGATAGTGTTTAAAATAAGTTCATTTGCCTTGTGGGAAGCCTTGACCCAAATTTGAGTAGGATTGGGCCTAATTCGAGATAAAAAGGGCAATTTTAAGTTGAAACCAAAGTTAATAATATACCATTTTTACTTTAAAAGGATGAAACTCATTAACTGGAAATTTTCACGCAAGAAGCTCCCTCTTTTTCCTCACTCTTCTTTGTCTTTTACCTCTCTTCTTTTCATCTCTTCTTTAAGTTTAAACTAATTAATGTGGTAACTTTGGCACCTTACAAGTTTATCCCGAAATCCACAAGGTAAGAGTTGTAACTACATCTAAAGAGTTTCATTTAAACCCGTAAAATCAAGTTTTGGTCATGGTGGTCATAAGTGGAGGTTTAGAAAGGTTTTGGAAACCCTTGAAAAACCAACTCATTTTTTGGGGATTTAGGCTTTAAGAATCTTCCTAATTCCCAAGCAAACTAGTAACTCACGTTTTTTTCCTTGTTTAGTTAGAGAAGTTGAGAAATCTCCAAAAGCATGTGAAAATAGAAGGTAACACTTGGCGAGTCTTAACTGTTAACACATTTCTAACTCATCTTTACCACCTGTAGATCATTAGATGTGTTTGGTTGGGTTGCATGAGTTTATGAAGCATGTAAGTACATCCATGGTAAATATCAGTTTATGTTATTTTCAGCATTAATATTGGCCTATAATAACCCCTCTTAATATACATAAGACTTAAATAACAGTTGGGTACCTTAGTAGAGCTTTCATAGAAAGTTGGCTTGCATTTTTCTGCTAAAAATAGAACATTTTTAGGCTTAGGTATGGTATTATATGAACAATACCGATATTTTTTTAGATATCCTAAAATAAGGGGTTTTTGGCTAGAAGTACCGATACCTGTTCATTAGGTATCGATATTGTGCGTTGGGTATCGATACTCAATTGTGGGATATCAGTACCATGTTCAGTTTTCAAATTCTAGTAACCTATTTTGGTATCGGTAATCAAGGGAGTATCGATACTATATAAAGGGTATTGATTCCTTAAGTAAGGGTACCAATACTGAACTAATTTTCAAAACACTTAATCTAATTTTGGTATCAATACTCAAGATGATATTGATGTTCAGAAGTATCAATACTATATTTAAGGGTATCGATATAGTCTAATTTTCTCAGATTCTAGTAGCCAGTTTTGGTATTGGTGCCCAGGGTGAGTACCGATACTCAAGGGTCAATAATGATACTAAAGGGCTTAATATTGGTACCAACATACTGAATTGGATAAGAAACCTAATTTGAATCAAGACGTTGGAAAAGGGGGTCTAATTATGCCAAAATATTCCTAAATAAAACTACAAGTGAAAATAGCTAAAAAATACAACTATAGTTAGAAACTATATGAATTAAGACGACATAAAACTAGCCATTGTGCGATGCTCGGGGAACAACGGGATATTGTAGTTACTTTAGTAGTATGATGATCGTCTTGCATATTTAGATTATCCAGATATATCTCAACTAGGGCCAAGGCACTTCAGTTGCTAGTTGGGCGTAGATGCCCTAAGACTCTAAGGAGTTAGTGATCGGGATATAGAACCCTCAAACCATACTATGATGGCAACCCCAATTTTACATGTTAGTGTTGTAATCTCATACCTATGCCTAATAACATACTTATGTAGTGAATTCATATATTATAGTATAATTATCAGTGTGACACTAAGCTTGTGAGCTCAACTATCGGATATGTTTCCATGCGTAGGTTCTTAGGAAACTTCTTGATAAGCTTATAGTCAGACAACGTTTGAGATAGTCGAGACATCATAGTATGTCTTGAGTCTTGGGCTTGTATCATTCATAGACTTTCTTGTATTAAATCATAATTTTATTTTTAAGAATTTGAAATGTAATATTCTGGGATGTGTTTTGAGAGCTCCCCACTTTTACAACTTAACTATTTATGATTTATTATGTGATTTCATGAATACTATTTTAATTGAATGTTTTTAATTTTTTAAAAAAAATTTTTAGGGTAGTCACTCAGGTGGTCCCGTGTAATACTTTAGTTGATAGGTCTTTGGGTCGGATTGGATTAAAGTATTACATTTATTAGTATCAAAGCGTCTGGTTCAGTTGTTCCTAGGATCCACAAGTTAGAGTCATTAAGTGTCTATGTGTGTACATGTCTCTAGAGTGTCAAGAGTACTTTAATATCTAGAATGATGATAATAACCTCTCTCCTCTATCTATTTCAGAAAAAAAAACCCCATGGCCAACAACTCAGCTCATAGTTAGGATGATAGGGATGAGATTCATGCCTCCTTAGTGGGTAACACCAGTGATAATTTTGTCCTGAATTTTGAGTTAGAGGTCTCTAGAGATGCGAATATCGATGAGGTAACCTTCTTTAGAAATTTGACCTCAACTCTCAGACAGATTATCGGGTAATTCCTAGGGCATCAGTTGTGCCATTTACCCCACCAGCACATCTAGATCAGCTCGTTGTATTACCCTAGGAGTCCCCAATAGAGAGGTTATGAGGTATAATACAACTGATTTTTATGGTTCTAGGGATGACGACCCCGTAGTAGACGACCAATAGCTCAAAGATACCCTTCACACACTCTGACAGTTACACCTTACCCCTTAGTGTAAACTTAAATGCATTATCGCCTTGTTAAATGTGACGTCATATAGGCCTATAAACGAATCAAACGTTCAACAAACTGTTTAATGAGGCTGAGGGTCCTCTAAAGGTGGAAGTGTTGAATCTAAACAACATAGTAGAGGGACAAATAAATGAGTGGTTGGTGTTAGGACGCAAGTGGCCTCTAGACAATATGTTATAAGAGCTCGCGAGAAGTGTGATGCTACAGACGTGATACTAGATAAATGTATAATATTTTCTATCATAGTTACAACATGTAATACCTCGATTCCCAAGATAGTAGTTCAGGTTAACTCGAGATGGGTTTGGATAAACCTAATAGCCTTAAGGGAAGTATTGGACCATGTATGGAGTGGTTTAGGCTTGAATTGAGCCTAAATAATGATAAAAATGAGATTTTTGAATGTAGGAAAATTATGGAAGACTTAAACATGTAATTAACCCTAAAAAGATTTTTAAAACTAAAAACCATTAAGAATGAGAGATCTAACATGCAAGAATATCTTATTCTTCACCATTTCCATTGTCTTCTTCTTTTTCTTATTATTTTTCCATCATCTTCCTCAATAGTGACTTAGCAAATGAGAAAAATTAGTGGAATTATAATTCTTGAATAAATTTTCTAAGGTAAGAAGGATTATCTCCATTCCTAGAGTTTTATTTTATGCTCTTTATCTAAATAAATGGTTGTGGTAGCCATGTAGGATGTTTAGTGGGGTTTTTGGATTCTAGAACTTTAGAGTGATTCTAACACGTTTTTAATGTTTAGAATCTCATTTCTACATCTCCTAAGTCCTTTAGATGAGTTAATAACTCATTCCCTTGTTTGTTGCTAGTGAGATAAGTGTGTGAAAGCTCTAAGGTAAAGGATAAAGAGAAAGTGGTCCTTGGGTGAGCTTAAAGTGATTCTGCAGCTTCTAGTAGTAAGATAACATATTTCTATCCCCTCTATACCACCTTTAGATCATTGTATATAATGTGATTACTTGTATGTGTTTATGAAGCATGTGAGTGCATTTTGGGTTCTTGGCATAAAAATGAGTATTTATTGTTATTCATGCATAAAGAAATAACCTTTCATAACCCATTAACTCTATATAAGACTTAAACACTATTTGGAGGTCTTGAGAGGGCCTTAGGAGTAATTTGAGGTTTTATATGAGAGAAACATGGTTTTTGGATTTAGGGTATCCGTACTATATGAGTACCGATATTGTTCATCTAAAAAGGCTAAAATCAGAGGGGTTTGTGAACTTGTGGTATCAATACCTTTCATGGGGCATCGATACTCAGGACTTAGTATCAATACCAGAAGATCAACTCATATTTCATTAGGCTATTTTGGTATTGGTACCCAGGTAAGTATCGATACTAAAAAAGGTAGTATCAATACTCTAAGTAGAAATATCAGTACTTGTATATTTTTATAAACATCGAATTAATTTTGGTATCGATACTCAGGGCAATATCGATGCCACAAGAGAGGTGTATCGATAACCTAAGTAGGGGTATCAATACTAAAGGCTATGTCAAATTCCAATATGTTATTTTGGTATCGGCACTCGGGGAAGTATCGATACCCTAAGGGGGAAGAAATACTGATTCTATATGGCTAATTATCGGTATTATTGTGAAAATAAAAACTATAAGCTTTGCTTGACCTAGGGAGCCGAGAAGGGATTAGGATCGAGGTTCTCAATATAAGCTTTCAAGTGAGAACATTAATAATTGTTTGAGAAATAAGA